TAAGTACTTGGATTTATAGAATGAAGAAAAAAAAAAAAAAAAAGGATGGGGAACAGAAGTATTACCTGAGGGCAGGAAATTCAGAAAAAGGTCCCTATTCCTGGTGAAAGCAAGCAGTCAGTTGCCAGGGTTTCTTAGACTCCTCTGGTACTCATTTGGGTGATTATGCAATTCACAGCACACCAATCTCCACCACAGCCAGCAGGGAACGCTGCAGGGAATGGGTACACAGGGGACACAGAAGGGAGCAAGTTTAAGGGAAGGAAGAGGAAAGGAATGATGATAACAAAATTTAGCTGTGGTGCACTTTGGAAAAAAAATACAGTTGCATTTCACACTGGATTAACTAAAGGTAAACTGCCTAAATTCTAGGATGAATTAACCATCTAGGATTTTCTTCATTCTATCACTGTTATTACTACTCTCCAATTACATTCACATTATCTTTTTAATTTTATATTAAAATGTTAATTAACAAAAATGAGATACTATGTTGTAGAAGTTATACAAAGGCTGAACTGTATAATTTACATTAAATGAAATAAATTAAGATAAGCAATCTATAAAGCAAGCAATCTACACATACAGATTATCAAATTGGTTTAAGTGCCAAAAGCCCCACTTTTAACTGTAATCCTCATTTCACTGAGAATACTGAGGCATAAAGCTACCCATAAAAAAAATCCAAAAACCAATGAGATATCCAGCAATAGGCCATATCTTTATACTCAAAAATAAATGGAAAAACTGTAGTATTCGTGGGGGGAAAAAAAGCTTTTAATCTAAATTTTCTGGATATGAGTCAACTAGTTAAATCTGCCAAAAATGTATTCAGGGCAATCAGTTTATGTTCTATGTATTCTATGGGGGACAAAGTTGTGCAAATTTGTTTCTCCAGTCAGTTAAAATTGTTTTTGAACAATTGTTATGTACTGCAGTCCTGTGACAGATGCTAAAGAAACAATGGTGAACAAGAGAAGCACAGTCCCTGGCTTCTAAAACATATCAGGGCGATTCTGTCCTTAAAGTGATGACTATCTATCACAACAAAAAAAGAAGCATTTGTTTTAATAAAATAAACAGGATATGCTTTAAGACCTAAAGGACTTTTAAAATGGAGAAGACCAATGATTGGCCTCCTTAAAGCTATCCACGGAAAAGTGTACACTAAAATAAAGCTGAGAGAAGATGGCCTATTATGAAGAGATACAGAAAATTTGGCTGCAGGAATAAGACAACAAAAGATGGGTGAGAAACAAAGGAGAAAACTGTAATACTGGAAAGTTAAATTGCAATCAAATTTGGAGGACCTAAAAAATTACCCTTAACTTTTCTGGATATTAGCCATAAATATTTCCTTTGTATACATGCCCTAGTCCAGGAAAACAGATTTAATAACTATTTTATTACTCTCAAGCTGTCATTTATGTCCTTTATTTTTTTCTTGAGATGGACTCTTGCTCTGTTGCCCAGGCTGGAGTACAGTGTGGCACGATCTTGGCTCATTGAAGCCTCTGCATCCTGAGTTCAAGTGATTCTCCTGCTTCAGCCTCCTGAGTAGCTGAGATTACAGGTGTGCACCACCACACCCAGATACTTTTTTTGTATTTTTAGTAGAGACAGGGTTTTACCATGTTGGCTAGGCTGGTCTTGAACTCCTGACCTCAGGTGATCCAACCACCTTAGCCTCCTAAAGCGCTGGAATTCCATGTGTGAGCCACTGCACCTGGCTTTTTTCATTATTTCTTCACAAGCTTCTCAGACATTCAGACCACCTCGGTCTCACTGTCTCTCTTTCTGTTAAGGTTGCATAGTGTTTTGCTTGTGACTCTCTCATAAGACTCACATTCTATCCTGAATTCTATTTATTCACCCATCTACCAGACTGTTTCCAGAAGACATTCCTATATCTTAATTTCATTTGTATATTTTACAGACCCTTCCTTAAGTACTGGTAGGAATGAACAATCTACTAATGGGGATAATCAAAATCATACTCAATACCTGCATTCTTTAAAAATATATCTTACATTTTATGGATGCCCTTCTTTATAGTGCATTTCAGTTATACATAAAATTGCAGCACAGCAAAAGTAACAAGTTGGGGCCAGGCACAGTGGCTCACACCCGTAATCCCAGGACTTTGGGAGGCCGAGGCAGGCGGATCACCTGAAGTCAGGAGTTCAAGATCAGCCTGACCAGCATGGAGAAACTCTGTCTCTACAAAAAATACAAAATTAGTCAGGTGTGGTGGTGCATGCCTGTAATCCCAGCTACTAGGGCAGGAGATCCCTTGAACCCAGGAGATGGAGGTTGCAGTGAGCTGAGATCGTGCATTGCACTCCAGCCTGCGCAGCAAGAGCAAAACTCCATCTCAAAATAATAATAAGTTAGAACAAAAACACAATCTAATATATAAAAATATTGGCCAGGTGTGGTGGCTCACCCCTGTAATCCCAGCACTTTGGGAGGCCACGGTGGGCGAATCACCTGAGGTCAGGAGTTTGAGACCAGTCTGGCCAACATGGTGAAACCCCATCTCTACTAAAAACAAAAAAATTTGCCAGGCATGGTAGCACATGCCTGTAATCCCAGTTACTTGGGAGGCCGAAGCAGGAGAATCACTTGAATCCAGGAGGTGGGGGTTGCAGTGAGCAGAGGTCATGCCATTGTACTTCAGCCTGGGTGACAAGAACGAAACCCCATCTCAAAAAATACATGCATACATATACACACATATATACAGTTTTTTGCAAAATCTTAAAATCACTGAATTTTCTGGTGTCACAAAGTCTATTCCCAAATATTCATCCCTAACAACAAAAGTACACAGAAAAGATTTACAAATAGTTGCTCATACCCATAATCCCAGCACTTTGGGAGGCCAAAGAGGGTGAATTGCTTGAGTTCAAGAGTTTGAGAAAAGCCTGGGCAACATGGCAAAAACCCATCTCTACCAAAAATACAATAACTTGCCAGGCATGGTGGTGCACGCCTGTGGTCCCCACTACTTAGGAGGCTGAAGTGGGAGGATCGCCAGAGCCTGGGAAGTCGAGGCTGCAGTGAAGAGTAATCATGCCACTGCATTCCATCTGGGGTGACAGAGCAAGACCTTATCTCAAAAATAAATTAAAGTTTTAAAAAATAATTTTTTAAAATTTATTTAAAAATTTTTTTGGCTGGGCACAGTGGCTCATGCCTGTAATCCCAGCACTTTGGGAGGCTGAGGCAGGTGGATCACGAGGTTAGGTGTTCAAGACCAGCCTGGCCAATATAGTGAAACCCCATCTCTACTAAAAAAAAAAAAAAATACAAAAATTAGCTGGGTGTGGTGGCATGTGCCTGTAAGTCCCAGCTACTTGGAAGGCTGGGGCAGAAGAGTCACTTGAACCCAGAAGGCAGAGGTTGAAGACAGCTGAGATTGCGCCACTGTACTCCAGCCCCGGCGACAGAGTGAGACATATAGACTACAGTAGAGGAAAACCTTTGATGCTATATTAGCAGTGGTAAAAAGAAGCCAGAGATCTCTTTCTTAACAGTATTTTTGGGTAGAAAAGGAATATATACACACAAAGTTCAAAGTCAGCCTAGTTGATGACTAATATGGAAATTCAAAATTTATATACAGCATTCATCATGGCAGGGAATAATCTAAAAATAAATCAATAAATTGTCAAACAAACTATCAGTAAATCTAATGTCTGAAAAACCAAACAATAAATTATATACTGAATCATATTGACTTCAATTTCATTTGAATGATTTGATTTTAATATGATAACTACTCGATTTTCACTTATGGAAATAACCAAAAGTCTTTTACTTATAACTTACATTCAAACTGAACTCCAGCCACTAATACTCACTGAAATACCAATATTTAATAAAAAAATTATTCATCCTAAGCATATAATATGTAGAATTTAAAACACAAAATAAGAGATCAACTTATTTAAAAAGTGTTTAAACTACAGTACCAAGGCAAAGTGTAATCCTGCAAAAAAGGAAAATTATTCAATAAAAAGAAAAAAATAGAGAAATTGTGTTGCCCTGCTAGTGTCTGAATATGGTTTATTTGTCCCCACAAAAATTCGTATTGAAATCTGATCCCCAATTTGACAGTGTTGGGATCACGTGGGGCCTAGTGGGAAGAGTTTGGGTCAAACTCTTAACAAATTACCCAGCCTCAGGTAATCTTTTATAGCAACACAAAATGGCCTGGCGGTCTTGAAATGTGCTGCCCATGGAGGAGGACTATTATAGTGCATGCACTTAAAAGGAAAACAACAACAATACCAAAAAACCCAACCCTGAAAATTCATGTCACAATTCACTTTGCAATAATTATTTATTGCATAAGCCAAAGGATAACCACAAATATATGTTCATTGCCGTCAGACTAAAACATGTTAGTCTAAATTAGATGACAAATAAAAGGGAGGACATCTCCAATTAAATATCTAACATTCAGGCCAGGCGCAGTGGCTCAGGCCTATAATCTCAGCTCTTTGGGAGGCTGAGGCGGGTGGATCACTTGATGTC